CTTCCTGGCAAATAGCCATTGATGGATCTATCTTCTATTAATTTATCTAGTTCTTTTTTGAACCCTGTTCTTCTCAACATCCTCTGGCAAGGAGTTCCACGGGTTGACTGTGCATTGTGTGAAGAATCTGCACCTGGATGAAAAAGATTAGAAGGAACATTGTTCACCAACTCTAAACATCACTTCTAATAGAAGCATTTTCCTCTCTAACCAACTAGAGGAAAAAACATTGCAAGATAATTCAATTAATTAAAATTTAAAAAGTCATTGCTGATAGTAAAAAGCAGTTTTTGAACATGAACCTCATTCATTCAGCTCTTTCAGACAGACAAAAGTTTCAGAACATTTATTGGTGAAAAGGAAGTGGTTATCACTAGGGACTGCATCAGTTTTCTAATACGTTCTTAGATTTGCAGGGCCTGCTGTGCCCTGTAGCAAGTATGAAACAAAATCTACAGTTCTTTGACCTCTTCTGTGCACAAATTGCCATAATCACTGCAGGAAACTTGAAAAATCTGGGGATTTTTAGATCATTACATTTTAATGTTACAATTGCTTCCTGAGGACAAAAATAAGATTTTTGGAATTACTCCTCCACATCACGTAAGGTTCAGTATCTCATTTGAGATAGATGTGCTCATTTAAAATTCGTATGTGCACCCTTAAAGCATATAGTATATAAAATATTTTATAAATTAAATTAAAAATAGGAACTATTACCCCCAAAATGCTTTCTATTATACAAGAAAGTGGACTTTAAATTGGTCAGTGTTCTATTTTGTGTTGCTAGTAAGATATTAATTTTTAACCAGTTTTTTAAAATATTGAAGATTTGCATATTTTAACTAAAGGATCAATTCCTCAGGACAAATGAATGACTACTTCAAATGTTAACACCCTGAATAGTCATAAATAAAAAATATGAGCAAGTATTTCTCCTCTACCATGTTAATCACCTATCTATTGAAGTGAATACCCTGCCAGAACCCCTACCAGATATATGCATGTGAATTGAAAGATCTAAAAGGAATTAGTTTTCATTGCACTCCTTCACATCTCTGCTGCTACTTTAAACTCATTTCCAAACACGTACTATACACAAGGATCAAGAACATTCTGAGCCAACCTAATTTTTTCTAAGTATCTAGGTTTTTTAAGGCAGTTGTCAGATTCATTGACTTTTAAAGTCAGAAGGGATCCTAGACCTTTAAGAGATTCAAAAATGACAAATGCCACCATTTGAGTAGAATTACAAAGCAATCTCTTTACAATCGATGTGTTTTAAGGAAATGTGGAAGATCAGGACTTTGCAGGGATCACTTTAAGCTAAGCAGCAAAAGTAAAACATGCCAACATATGTGGAAAGAATACACGTAATGGTTTGTCCTCCAGCAGATAAATATTTAGCATGTACTACCCCAAACTGTGCTGATTTGTATACCAGCGAGGAAAAAAATTAAACTGATGCAAATGCTGCCTCAGTAGAAGCATTGTTCACGTTTTATTTGATGAGAAGCAAATCACATTTCTATCTATTCTCTGCAAGCATTTGTAATGCAGGCATATCCATAGCATCTAAATAACATTGATCCTGTATTAGTAAATTTTTTATGATCTATTCTTCAGTGATACTGTTCTTGGTTGTCTTTATGGAAAAATATACTCACCCGTTCTGCAGACATTACAGCCAGGACCTTAGCAGTTTTCAAGTATCTAAAAGGGTGTTGCAAGGAGGAGGGAAAGAATTGTTCTCCTTGGCGTCTGATGACAGGACAAGACGCAATGGGCTTAAATTGCAGGAAGGAAGGTTTAGGTTAGGAAGTTTTTCCTAATGTTTATCTGTCAGGGTGGTTAAACACTGGAATAAATTGCCTAGGGGGGTTGTGGAATCTCCATCACTGGAGATATTTAAGAGCAGGTTAGACAGACATCTATCAGGTACGATCTAGATCAGTGGTTCTCAAAGTGTGATCTGTGGACCACTATGGTCCATGGCCACCTCCCAAGTGGTCCATGGCTTGAGCACAGGGCCCCTCCCCCTTCCCTCACACAACAGGGAGCCTATGCTGCAGCTCAAGCCTTGTGATGCTGGAGCACCAGCCCTAGCTTCCTGCTTGGAGGGTGCACAGGGCGAGGGGAGGCATGGGCGCAACATGGTGCAGGGGGCGGGGTGGACTGGTGAGTGGAGCTGAATGCATGGAGCCGAGGGTGGGGCTCTGTGCTGAGATGCTGCGGGTGGCCAAGAAGGCCTTTCACAGTGGCTACTTCAAGCTGACAGATGAGATCTACGGCTTGCAACTGACTGAGCTGCTGCAGCCCAAGCAGAGGCTCTGCCTGCCCCAGGGGTGATTCACTAGCCCTCACTAGCTGCATGGCCGAGGTCCTTGAGACCTACAATACCGCCACCTGGCTACCCCACCCGTGGCCCCAAGGAATTGCAGGAGCTGGCTGAGATCCTGGCACCCAACCTGCACGACAAAGCACTGTCTGCCGCCCTGGCGAGGTGTTGAGCGACCCAACCACTGCCATTTGTCAGCGCTGCTCGCCTGAGCCAGTGACCCTGCACAACAGTGACACTTGCTGCTGCCTCTGCGCCAAGCCAGCAACTGTGGCCCCTGCCATCAGCCCACCGCACTGCTCCTACAGCACCTGGTCCCCGGTCAACATGGTGCTGGGCAACCTGCTGGAGAGGTGGCTGAAGGGAGAGAACCAGGCTGTGTGGCAAACACAAGACTCGAATGTCAGTGTAGGCTTCCCACTGTGTGCAGGAGCCAAACTCCCTCCCCACTACACCCCACTAGAGAAACAGCAGCACAGTGACGCGCTGTCCCAAGACTTTCCCTGCTGCTCCCATTGGCCCACCAATGGGAGAGGTGAGGGCAGTGCTTGAGAGCAACAGGGGCACGAAGCCAACTAAGCCAACTAAGCACCTCCCCTCATGCCCAGACCCCTGCACCCCAATCTTCCCTCACCCCCATCAGCCTGCCAAGACTACGCAACCCCAGCTTGCTCGCTTCTGCACTCCCCCTCCTGGTCATACTCTGTACTCTCCCTTGTTCCTACACCCTCCCCCCTGCCAAACACCCTGCTCCCAGCCTACTTCTGCATCCTATCTTACACCCTACCTTCTGCCCAGATCCTGCACTCCCATTCCTATCCCACCCCCAAGCCTAAGGAGGTCCACAAAATCCACTAACTCTAGAACCCCAGGAAAGTAAGTCTGGCCTATGGGAAGCCCTGAACCTCAGTCTTTTCTGTCCCTATCCCTCAGCCCATGGAGCTGGAGTGCCAAAAAAGTGAGGTCTCAGGGGCCACATCAGTGAGGATTGGGGGAGTTTTTTGCTTCTCACTTGTGTGGTCCCCAACTGATTTTTCTGTGGGTCAGTGGCCCCTGACCCAAAAAAGGTTCCTCACCTCTGCCGTAAACATGGGAATCATAGAATATCAAAACTGGAAGAGACCTTGAAAAGCCATCAAGTCCAATTCCCCTGCCCTCATGGCAGGACCAAGCACCATCTAGGCTCATAGAGGAGTTCCCAACTTTTACTACTGAAATCACTGCACCTTATTTAAACTGTGACATCAGTCATCACCATATTATTTGAGCACTATGTATTCTGCCTTATCCTGAACCAAGTTAACCTCCCTGGTCCAGCAACCTGGAGTCCTCACTGAACCCCACAAAGGAACTTGCTAGAAGCAGCCACCTTCCAGCAGCACCCCAACCCACTCCCCCTCCTGCGTTGCCACATTTACCCTTGCTGTGGGCACCTAGCACCCAGTGGACATCCCCCTTCCCTGAGGCTCTCTGGTCCAGGAACATCTGTTATTGGCTAAAAACTTTAGACTGTTCACACAATTCCTAAGGACACCTTTTATCAATATTCAGCAAGCACTTCTGCATTTTCTGCCTAAAAGAACCAGTGCAAGACAAATGAGCATAGGGCAGAGTAACTACTGCAACTAACCACTCAAGATGTTGAAAATGTTGATTACTAACCCAACTTCTTATTCCCCCCTCTCCACAATCATTTCTCAGATGAGAGAATTGCTGTGGCCGACAATTGGGCTGAAACCATTTGTTAAAAGCCTTACTGCATTAGGTTATGAATGTCAGCCTAGTATTTTGCTCCCGAGGACAGCCTATCTAGCTGGTTTCTGGGTCCTTGAGAAAGAATAGTCCCTTCAGCGACAACAATGGAGTAAACATCAATTAACATGAAAGCCTAGCAATTCTTGATTAAATCAAGAAGGGACATTTGGCTCAGAACTGGTTACCTCAGCCTGTCCTTGGGCTCCAAAATTTCAACATGGAATGTTTACTTCCAAGAAAAAAAGCCCGGGTTTGAGAGATGCAGTGGTAACATCAGCCAGTTTTCCAACTAAAAGTCAGATTAGAGAAGGTTCTTGCACTCAAATCTTTCCACTAAATGCTTTTTAGTTGTGCAACACAGGCAATTTAGTTGCTGTGAACTATGACCCATCCACTAGAATATTTCTGCCAGCCCACTTCCTGGAATAAGTGTCAAAGTACTATCCCATCCTCCACCCTAATGAATAGCTGGAAATGATTGCTGCAGGTAAGCCATAAACATTGAGTGACAAGATGCAGACAAGGCTTATTTCCCTCTATCCACCATGTGTTTTATTGGTTTCTTTAAGTGCACGTATCCAATTTCACTGTGGACTACCTCATGAATTCCAATCTGAATAAACAGAGGTAAATAAACTATAAGATGAATTGGAATAATCTAAATTAAGCTCCACTGTATCCATTAGGTGCCAGAGGCCAATGCTAAGACAAGCAGCAGGTTTGCTTATGACCATGGTCCTTTTGTTTTGCAGGTTACCTAGTGCCTTCCAGGAATCTATTACACTGCTCTGAAGGGCAAAACTGATCTAGTGAAGTGGTGGCTGTGACTGATCAAATAAAATACGAATTAGGAACAGGCAAAAAACCTCAAGTATTTCCAAAAGGAAGCTTTGATTTCAAGCAGAGGCCAGCAACTTAAGTTGTATTTTTCCAGTACCTAGAACACTGGACTTTAATGAGCTTTTCAGCTTCCATACAGTTTGTATTTATACACCTTGTCAGAAGTTTTATTATAGGTATATCAGGATCACCAACAGGTTTGATACAAAAGTTATTATATTAAGTTACATATAATAAAGCATAAAAACAAAAAGATTATAATGCAATGCTGAGTCTAAACGTTTATTCTAAACTCAAGCATCAATATTCAAGTTGCCAAAATACTACAGGTCAGAGTTCTTTATTTTTAGTATTAAAGTGCCAGGTTTATGTACAAAACTATTAAAAATAGTAAGTAGTAAACTTAAAACCTGCTAAGAAGCAGTGAGGTCATCTAGCTTCCCCTGCAGTATCCAAGAGCCTAATCTCTAAAATGGTTTAGTCTTACTCTATTTCAATTACTTAAAGCTTCGTTTGAGGAATTCCAAAAGCCAGCGATATCTGTGTAAAACCTCCCTATTTCCAAGGATGGCATTTGAGATTTCCTGAAATAACTTCCAAGAATTAGTTATATGATTTTTATAACAAGTTACTCCATTTTAAAGCATTCTATAAACTAACACCATTGGCAATAGCTAATAAAAGAATTTTACTGCTGTAGCTACACTAGCCTCCTCAAGACAGTACCATACCACTCCATTCAAGAGCAGGATTTTAGTACAATATCAAGTCATACTGCGACTTTCAGTATAAAGTAATGTCTCATTTAAATAGAGCATGCACATCTCATCTTCAGTGGTCTCAAGTTCATTTAAAAGTCTGCATCCAGAGTGAAAGAGTTATCTGTGGGTTTTGACATTACTCCCATCTTCTGGTATTCTCCTACTCGCTTCTCAAAGAAGTTAGTCTTTCCTTCCAGTGAGATATTCTCCATGAAGTCAAATGGATTCTCTGCTTTGAATATCTGAAAGACAAGACTTCTTATCAAATGGGTTTTCAAGTCTGGAAGTGGCATAAAAGAGCCAACCCGGAAGTGAGGACTAGCAGTGGGAAAGCCAATTTAAGAATTTATTTAATATAAAAGTATATCAGTTTTCTATCTGACAAGTGAAACCTCTCCCCCTCCTAAGTCTTTAGGTGCTGCACTACTGTATGCCTTTGTTTGCTGCTCTCTTAAGAGGCAGAAGAACACAGTGTTTCTTGCAATACCTTCTTTCCACCACACTGCTTATTTGACTGTCATTATGTATCATGTAGGGCCCCATCCAGAACTGAGCATTAACATCCATGGAAAATGAACAACCTGCTAGAAGGTTCCTGGCTATTGGTGAAGAGCTTAAAATGGTGACATTAACATGTGGCAGCCATTTTACATATTCAAGATTTATAGGAAATATCAAAAGAATACAAACCTTTTCCTATGAAATCTTACCTTGCTAAATCCCAGTTCCATCATAAGTCTGTCTGCCACAAATTCTATGTACTGTTTCATTAAAGTGCAATTCATGCCAATCAGCTTTACAGGTAGTGCCTCTGTCAAGAATTCCTGCAGGTGTTAAGAGGGGAGGTTAGCACAGGCCTCAGCAAACACTGCTCTAGATAACACGTTTGTTTCTTAAACTTTGAGACCACAGAACACCAAACAATTTTTTTTAAATGCAGAACACCTATAAAAATTTTCTTTAAAAAATTGCTAGACAAAAAAAAACACAAAAAACAAAGTAACAAAACAAAGAAGAGGTTGCAGCACAACTGCGAGTTGTTCACGGAACACCAGTGTTCTGCGGAACTTAGTTTAAGAAACACTGATCTAGAGCAGGTTTTCTACCCAAAAAAAGGAACACCTGATTACCTGCTCTATCCTGACAGCATCGGTAATGACTTCTCTTACTTTTTCCTCAGATGGTTTGTGCACCAAGTGCTTGAACATTAGGCAGGCAAAGTCACAGTGCAAACCCTAAAAAAGTGAGTTTAGATATTATTTCAGAAACACTGTCAGATGGCATTTCTAGTCAGAGGCATATTTGAAAAGCTCACAAGCCAGATACCCATGTTAGTACTCAAAGCTCAGATGATTTTCCCTTGGAGGAAATAGGTCACACTTTGTAGTTTCCCCCTTGCAAAATTGAGTAGGCAGCCTTTATTAGGATTTTCCCTTCAATCATCACCTTAATGGAGATTCACTCACTGTCTCAATTCAAGTCTTATTTATTCCAAGATACTGTTTACCCATTAATTTAGCCCCAGATATTTAAGAAGAATCAAATAGTTATCTGAGACATTAAGGTCCTGTGTCTCTTGTGGTGCATTATAGTACAAGATTATTACAAGGTTCTTTTACCTCATCTCTACTGATGAGTTCGTTAGAAAAAGTGAGTCCAGGCATTAATCCTCTCTTCTTCAACCAAAAGATAGATGCAAAGGAGCCAGAGAAGAAGATTCCTTCCACTGCTGCAAAAGCTACTACACGTTCTCCTGTCAGGAAAGCTGAATGTTATATTTTGCACTATAGCTAATGTTTACCTAGCCAGAAAAAAACCCCAAAGCATATTGAGTTTTCCATTCCTGAAATCTGTGCATGGGAAATATTCCTGTTGAAGTTTTATAGTCCACCAGACCCAGAGAGACTAAGACCTTGTCTTCACTACAAAAAACAAGTGTTAAATAACTCATGTGCAAGAAAAGAATTGTTGCAGAAACCACTAATAGTTTGAGTGGCACTGTAGCCCCCATTTACCAGTCACAAAACCAGTTAGCCCAGCCATCCTCTTCCCTCATCATTCCTGTGTTTGAGACCCAACTGGAGGACACAGCTTCCCTTCCACGCTGCTGTCCTGCTTTGGAAGGCAGGCTGTGTGCCTGGAACTGCAACTCCAACTGTGGTCTCAACTTCTGAGTCAAAACCCTCCACAACTCGTACCCATGTAGTTAAAGTTATCACTTAAGTTTTCTTCAACTTGTCTAGCGTCAGCTCTTCAACTACAGTTTACCTTGACAACTCTTTACTGGTGTAGCCAAGGTCCCACATACTATCATGTTACACTAAAACGCTGATAATTTATTTTGGTCTGTTTTGACAGCCTGCAATTCTGAACCCAGACAGGTCTGAGAACATGTGACAAGGCCTTGAGTAAAGATTTAATACTCAAGGGATAATGGAAATGTCTATCACCTCCCACCTGCCAAGTGAGACAATCCAAGAATCCATAAAGCAGATTACATATTTATCCTTCAACAGAAACATAGTTCTTTGGGAGGAATAAGCTACATGTGTTTAAAGCAGCTACCAAAAATGAACATACTACTAACTAGACACTTGTCACAAAGGACCAGGCAAAAAATGGAGCCTCTTCAGAAGAGAATAATTTGATCCAACTGAGACTACAATCTTCCAGAAATAAGGCAAATCACCACCTTCCCTTTGGCCATGAAGGAAAGCACGGCTACTGAAAGCTTCATTTTCTAGGAAACACATTGGGGTGTCTGTACTGCATCCTTACCTCAAAATAAGCTATGCAATAAGCGCTATGCAAATTGCATAGCTTATCTCAAGGTAATTTCAAAATAGCTTATCTTGAAATTCAGCACTGTCTTCACAACACTACCTTTCAAAATAATGTGCTATTCCGATAAGTCCCTTAACCCTCATGGAATGAGGTTTTTCAGGGATGCAGTAGTAACACGCCTATTATTTGAAATATATTTCAAAATAACAGGTGCATTTAAAGATGAACAATAGCTATTTTGGGATACTTCCAGTAGTAGCTTTAGCTACATCTAGTAAATACACAGTTCAGAAACTCACCGTATGTTGCTTGTTTGTCCCCAATCCACCGCATGGCCCAGTCAGCCTTCTTTTTAACACATGGTAGTGTTTCAATGGCATTGAAAAGAAATTCCCTGTACATTAGAAGTGGAAGAAGTCACAGGTGACTAGGTGCAGTAGGTTTGAAAGTAGCATGCCTAACAGGTACGTGTCATTGCAACCCCCATCCATCCAACACATTTTGAAACCAGTATCTTAGAATCGGTTTACATTCGTGATTTTGGCACTTGTATAGTTACACTGGTGGTAATCCCAACACAGATATGCTGAATTTGTGCAATTCATTCCTTTATGTCAGTGCATCTCCCTTGTTCTAGTATTCCAATACCCCAATCCCTCTTGCAGTCTGAAGTATATTTGTGGGCTTACAAACATTTTGATACACATCAAACTGCAAGTTTAAGTCTTGTGCTAAGCTTTTTAAGAAAGTATGTAGAACTAGTTCATGAACTATTTTCATATAATTAATTCTTAAATAATCTTTCTGGCTCACTTTGAAAGATTTATATCAATCCAAGAGTAAGGTATAGTTTTTGTTTTTCAAGCTGAGTTTTAGCACTAATAACCCAAAGTTTTAAAGCAGACAGCTTTGTATATGTGTAGCTGTCAGAAATGAGCAGTTTATTACAAGACAGGTTGAAAAATAGTTGTAACCTGCTCACAATGGCACAGAATCATTAGATGGGTAGATGTACATTAGAATGTTATAAAAAGTCAAAAAGATACAAGCTGTAATAATTCCCATAGAAACTGTTCTAGGCCACCTAATCCATGAACTAGCCAATACCATGGGCCTATTGTATTATGAGTAGACCAATTTTAAGTATCTATATAGATTGACTTTGGCTCCCTTGACAAATTTGGTTTCATACCCTCATGTATCAGTTACTAAATTAAACCGGTTATGCTTTTAATCTCTTCCTAGGATGGTTTGTTGAGCCTTCCTGCTTTTTATTATACTTGAGTTGTTCTTCACATCATGTTTGCCAAGCTAGTTAAATTCTCAAATCATTTCTGTATTGTTTCAAGATTTAGAAAAGGCAATACTATTAGAACCCACCATATTACATCAACTTGGACATTTCACTGTGATACTAACCTCTCTTTTGGATCTTTAATGTAAGTGTCTATGAGCAGACTGTACATTTCTGAATGTATATTTTCCATAGCAATCTGGAAGCCATAGAAAAAGCGAGCTTCAGTTATCTGTACTTCTTGGCTGAATCGTTCCACCTAGAGGAGAAACCAAGTAATTGTTGCAGAAAGGATTACCCACTTAAATTGTAATTTAATGCTATTAAACCCACAAGTATCTCCAGTTTTGCTTTACACCCCTATGGTGTGACAAACGTTTTAATGTTCAGAAGTTAAGCCCAGGACAGTGCACTAGAATAGCATCCTCCTGAGAGTCAGGAATCTCAGGTTCTGCCTTGATCTCATCTTAACTCCTTGAGTATTTGGCCTTAAAGAAACACTGCATTTTTCTCATTTCTGCTTAATCTAAGGCAGGACAATGCCAAATTTGACAGAGCTGTAGTAATATTCTGCACTTTTGCAGCTCATGAACAAGAATTTGAAAGCAAAGTACAAATGTGATTTCAGTCTCAATTGCTTTATGAGACACACAAATACCTGCACCCATGTATAGATGAATCAAACAAGATTGTGGAAGTGATCCCCTTCCCCCGCTAAAAAATATTCACACCACAACCTGGAATACAGCCAGGTCAACAGACTCCCAAATCTGTTGGTCTTACTACAAAATCATCCTCTTCTCCCCATAGGGGAAGCTTAGATTACAAAAAAGTCCATAAGAGTCCTTTACTAAGCACAACTTTTCCTAACCCTCCCCACCTCCTGAAAAATGACTACTGATTTAATAGGTTTTAAAGCAGAAGACGCTCAAGAGATAAACATCTCATTGTTTTATTTGGGCAGCTTTGTTAACAGAACGATTTCTACTTCAGGATTTCTCTTCTGTATGCTTACCAAATTCTCATTTACAATGCCATCACTTGCTGCAAAGAAGGCTAGGATATGTGAAATGAAGTACTTTTCCTCAGGCTTCAAGGATTCCCAGTGCTGAATATCTTTGGAAAGATCAACCTGAAGAACAAAAGCAGGCACTTACAATTTTATCATGCTACTAAAGAATGCATTTATATAAAGCAATGTTATACTGTGTATTAAACATAAAATATTACTGCAGTAAATCAAATTATGAAGTTTAATGGGTTCCTAGAACCATGGAAAGTTGTTCTTGGTTTATGTCACTTTTTCCAAAGCTATTTTAATCCGGGCTGGGCAAGATGCAGCCTGAGGCCACATATCAAAATTCATTAAGTGCTCTCCTGTAAAAATTATTGCACACCCCTGCATTAAATATAACAATTTTAAGGCTCTAGTACACTTAATATACAGTCACTGTTGGTTCTTAACAAGCTTAGGCTAGATCAGCACTAGAAAATTAAGCTGGCCTATGTTGGTAAGGAATGACTTTTTTGCACCTTTGGCCAATAGCTAAACCTCCAGATCAAAGAATTCTTCCATGGATCTAGCTCATGGATTACCTATGCTGACAAAAGAAACCCTCACATTAGCACAGGTAGCGAGGCACTTCGACACATCATCTGTAACTCTTTGGGACATGGACCATCTTTGTTGCATTAGTACAGCACCTACTACAAAAGTTCCTGATCATGACTGAGTCCCACAGGTTTTATTGCAATGTAAATATGTTAATACTACTAGGAACACACACTTTGTTATGAGCTGGCCTGAGCGGTGAATATCCAGTGGGCATGTCCACTGAAACAACCAGAGCAGGGATACCATCATGGGAGCCTCTCACCTCTTCAGCTGTCCAGAAGGAGGCCTCTGCTTTCTTATACATTTGCCAGATATCATGGTACCGGATGGGGAAGATGACAAACCGGTGGGGATTCTCCCGTAGGAGTGGCTCATCTTCCAGATTGCTAGGAGCTTGAGTAACTGCTTTGGGTTTCAACTAAAGGAGACACAATAAGAAAAATTGATTTCCATGTCCCCAGTGTTGGTAGACACTGTGGATGTTGGGAAGAGGAAAGCGTAACCATGAATGTGATGCACTAGTTTGCATCCCATTGTGATCAGGGACAACTAGGAGCGGGGAAAGAACGTAGGGGCCAGTAGCCACATGACCCTCCCCCCTCAGGCCAAGGAAGGGTTGGGACAACCCCTTCGGCCCCAGGCCACACCCTTCCTCTTTTGGGCACTTGCTCCACCCTGCCTCTTCACCCTCCTCCCCAACTGGATGTATCTGGGGGCACTTGCAGGGCCAAGGGGCCAACCCCCCTCCCACACATACTCACAGGCAGCAGTGGGGGCAGCTGAACGTGGCCCCAGCTCACTCTGCTTCTCTGGCCATTGCTGCCAAGTGCCAGTCCCTCCTTCACATCTCTCTCCACCCCAGATGCCCAGAGAGTCTAGCCTGCTGGCTGCAGCCAGGCCCCTTGCCCCTCCCACCCGTGGAGTTTAGGTGCATGTGATGAGACTATTTTGTAGATGAAGTCAGGGGGCACGATTAGGTCTGGGTTGGGGCTTGTCTATGGCATGTGGTAACCTGTTCAACAGAGGTGTAGCTTCTAAAGGGCACTAAACTATTGTGCAGTACTTGGCCCATGCAGACCTACTAGTGTACACAAAAGGCCTTTGTTCCCCGACCCCAGGGGAAAGGGGCCCCCTGGCGGAAGGAGGGGGGTGCTCCCCACCCCAGGGAAGGGGGGGAGAAGAGAGGGCCCCCTACGGAAGGAGGGGGGTGCGAAGAGAGGCCCCCCCACAGAAGGAGAGGGGTGCTCCCCACCCCAGGAAAGGGGGGGAGAAGAGAGGGGTGCTCCCCACCCCAGGAAAGGGGGGGAGAAGAGAGGGGTGCTCCCCACCCCAGGGAAGGGGGGGAGAAGAGAGGGCCCCCTACGGAAGGAGGGGGGTGCGAAGAGAGGCCCCCCCACAGAAGGAGAGGGGTGCTCCCCACCCCAGGAAAGGGGGGGAGAAGAGAGGGGTGCTCCCCACCCCAGGAAAGGGGGGGAGAAGAGAGGGGTGCTCCCCACCCCAGGAAAGGGGGGGAGAAGAGAGGGGTGCTCCCCACCCCAGGAAAGGGGGGGAGAAGAGAGGGGTGCTCCCCACCCCAGGAAAGGGGGGGAGAAGAGAGGGGTGCTCCCCACCCCAGGGAAGGGGGGGAGAAGAGAGGGCCCCCTACGGAAGGAGGGGGGTGCGAAGAGAGGCCCCCCCACAGAAGGAGAGGGGTGCTCCCCACCCCAGGAAAGGGGGGGAGAAGAGAGGGGTGCTCCCCACCCCAGGAAAGGGGGGGAGAAGAGAGGGGTGCTCCCCACCCCAGGAAAGGGGGGGAGAAGAGAGGGGTGCTCCCCACCCCAGGAAAGGGGGGGAGAAGAGAGGGGTGCTCCCCACCCCAGGAAAGGGGGGGAGAAGAGAGGGGTGCTCCCCACCCCAGGGAAGGGGGGGAGAAGAGAGGGCCCCCTACGGAAGGAGGGGGGTGCGAAGAGAGGCCCCCCCACAGAAGGAGAGGGGTGCTCCCCACCCCAGGAAAGGGGGGGAGAAGAGAGGGGTGCTCCCCACCCCAGGAAAGGGGGGGAGAAGAGAGGGGTGCTCCCCACCCCAGGAAAGGGGGGGAGAAGAGAGGGGTGCTCCCCACCCCAGGAAAGGGGGGGAGAAGAGAGGGGTGCTCCCCACCCCAGGAAAGGGGGGGAGAAGAGAGGGGTGCTCCCCACCCCAGGGAAGGGGGGGAGAAGAGAGGGCCCCCTACGGAAGGAGGGGGGTGCGAAGAGAGGCCCCCCCACAGAAGGAGAGGGGTGCTCCCCACCCCAGGAAAGGGGGGGAGAAGAGAGGGGTGCTCCCCACCCCAGGAAAGGGGGGGAGAAGAGAGGGGTGCTCCCCACCCCAGGAAAGGGGGGGAGAAGAGAGGGGTGCTCCCCACCCCAGGGAAGGGGGGGAGAAGAGAGGGGCGCTACCCATTGTCACAAACGAGGGAGCCGCCGAAAATTCCGACCGCTCTGCGCTTCTATTGGTCAGAAGCCTTAGGCCGGCCACGCCCCTCTTTTTAGACAAGCGGGAATCCACCTCAAAAATCACTTGCACGTCTCCTGGAGGCTTCCATTGGCCCAAAGCCCCAGCTGGACACGCCCCTGGATTGTCCTGACGTTCCACCCCCTGCGTCTGCCCCCTCCCCTTCGCACCTTTTGTTGCATTGTCTCTCCCGCAGCGAGAAGAGGGTCAGTCTTGCCTCATTCTCCCCCTCTTTTAAAGCGGGATAAGAGTCTATCGCACGGGGGTGTTTGCAGACTCGGAAAAAGTACATATGGGAAGGGGCAGGATGGGTGGCCTAGGGGCTGCCGGGGAGCTCTGTCGCTCCAGAGCTGCTGATTCCCACAGACCAATGGTTTTTAACCTTTTTAAATGTACGGATCCATAAAAAAATAGGAATGGCAGTGCAGACCCTTAGAAATCTTAGATGTAGTCTGTGGGTGCCCAAGGGTTCCCAAACCACAGATTGAAAACCTCTGTCTTGTTTAGGGTGACCAGATTTTCTAGGTGTAAGCGGGGGAATGATTCCGCTATTGTGGGGAACTTTCCTGGCGTTTATACCACCCCGGTGAAATGGACCAGCGAAAGGATCTGAGTCCCCACTCCCACTTCCTTTACCCCATGGCTCCCCTGTTCCTGAGGGCTCCCCCTCCACCCTCCTGAGTAGCAGAGCCCTTGAAACCCCAACAAGGCTGGGCCCAGGTTTCCTGGGGCTTAATCCCCGACCTTGTAGTCACTAGGGGCAGGAGTTAGGGTGTCCCCAGTCCGAGGTGCTCTCTTTACACTGCAGGCCGCCTTGGCCCAGTGATCACTTCATAAGGTTCAAAGCAAATACAATTTATTAAACATCAACTGATTAAAGAGAAAAGAATAAGAAAAAATGAGAAAGGTTAAATGAGAACACACAGCCCTGCTCTGTAGCACAGGGACATCAAAACAGCAGTCTGCAGAGTGTAAGGACAGTCCACAGTCTCTTCCTTAGAGGCCCCTTAGAGGCCTTGGATGTGCTGCGGGGGGGAGGGGCTGCAGGCTGGACACGCTTGCTCTGGCAGTGACCACACAGCCTCAAGCTCTAAGTGGCCAGACCCCTCTCCCAGTCCAGAGCCTCTCCCCACACTTTGCAGTTCCCCTCTGCTCACCACATCCAGCTGCAGGCTGAGCTTCTTGGCCAGTCTCTAGCTTCTTGTGTTGCTTCTCTGTTCCTTTTGGCTCTCTGAGCACTGCCAGTCTGCTGCTCAACACAGGGTCTGCGCTCCTTGAGCCGTGTGTGTCTGGCTCAGCTGCTGCAAAAACTGCCCCTCAGCACACAGCTTGCACTGCTTGGGCTGTCTCTCAGCTCTCTGTTTGCTCAGAGAGAGTCAGAACAATCCCAGCTCACAGGGAGGACGGGGCCTGGCCTCTCCCCTTCCTCACTGGCCTGTCCAACCTGTCAATCAGGCTGAGCTGGAGTGTTGGCTGCTTTCCATTGTCAGACTCATGTCCCTTCTGAAACTGGGAGCTGGCAAACCAAAAAACTCCCACAGAGTTTTAGTAAGGGGTAACAGTCCCCTTACATAGGGACAGTCTTGCTGTTCTGGGCTTTTTTATAATTAGGGGTAGTATATCCCCCACCCCGTCCTAGTTTTTCCACTATTTCTATTTGGTCACTTAAGTCATGTTGCAGACCACTTTAGGGAATGCCCTCCCGCTCCCACCAAGCACCAATAAACTCAAGAACCAGGGAAGTACTCCTTTGGTGGATGGTCCCAGTAGTTTAGGAACCAGAGAAGATTTAACCCTTCTTCTGTGCTCCCTTTGTCTCAGATGCCCCAGCAGGATATTTTGTCTTTACTCCTCCTGGCTACGTCTAGACTGGCATGATTTTCCGGAAATGCTTTTAACGGAAAAGTTTTCCGTTAAAAGCATTTTCGGAACAGAGCGTCTTGATTGGCACGAATGCTTTTCCACAAAAGCACTTTTTGCGGAAAAGTGTCCGTGCCAATCTAGATGCGCTTTTCCTCAAAAAAGCCCCGATCACCATTTTGCGGAAAACAAATCTGGGCTGTCTACACTGGATTTTTGCCCCAACAGGAGCAGCATAGTATTTCCGCAAGAACACTGACAATCTTACATGAGATCGTCAGTGCTTTTGCGGAAATTCAAGCGGCCAGTGTAGACAGCTGGCAAGTTTGTCCGGAAAAGTGGCTGATTTTCCAGAAAAACTGGCCAGTCTAGACACAGCCCCTGAATTAGTGATATTTTATGTCCTGAAACATGATGTCTGTAAAAATAATGGTGGGTTGTTCACTATATATTTGAGAGAGTTTGTCGATCTGTGTCCGCCTGAATCTGTCTGTGTGTCTGTTGGTTCAAGAACTCCTAAACCGTAAGAGCTAGGGCTGCCAAATTCAATGTGCAGCTTTCTCTTACCATAACTTAAACCAAGGTAAAGGTTTGGTTGTGCCTGGAAAACAGGTTGTGGGATTGCTTCCTACAAAACCATACAGAAAAGACAGCATCACTAGACACATGAAAGGCGCTGGTAGGCGGTGCACACACCCCCATTCAGGACTGCCCCAGTCCTGAGTCTCTCACCCCTCAGGTGCCATTTAAGGAGGGTAGAGGGGCTGCAGGCCTCCCCCCCCCCCCCCCACAGAAAAGAGATAATCACCAGGCATGTGAAAGGGGCTGGCTGGGGGTGTCTCCCCACCTCCCCAAACTGCCCCAAGTCCCAAGCCTTCCACCTCCCAGTCATCCTTTAGAGAGGGAGGATGGGAAGGGCTGAAGTTTTCCTCCACCCCCTGAATTCATACAGGAATATTGCTGGCTGTTACCCCAGGGGAAAGTGCACAGTTTGCTGAACTTCTCACTCTGGCTGGGGAGCGCAGGACACAGATGAACCTGGACCTGTTCAGTAGAGTGACATGTACCCTTCTCCCAACTGTGCCCACTGAAGTTGCAGTGGCCATAGAGAGGTGTTTCTCACCTGTCCCCAAGTTGCTGCACAAAGAGAGGGCTAAGGTAGTCCTCTCTCCCTGGGGCAGCCTGCATACTGAAACCTTCATCCCCAGCTCCAATATTTTATTTTCCAAAACACAATAATTAATTGA